ATCAGCGACAAACATGGCAAGCAAGAGACCTGCAGCTAGTGCCCAGCTAGCAGGACTGATTCGAGCCGTGGTGCTTAGAAAGAGAGAGAGAGAGAGAGAGATACAGAGAGAGAGAGAGAGTGATAGAGATACACATAAATCAAAAGGGACCCTACACCCTAAACTCTAAATATGGATGTGAAAAACTTCGGGATCAAGCCTTAGGACCTAGGATTTGTGGATCAGGGTTTAGTGGTCGGCCCCCCCGGACTACAAGAGGTCATATATCATCCCAATAGGACTTAAAGCCCGGCCCTAGACCCCAGGGTTTGGGGTTTAGGGAACCCCAAACCCCAAACATCCCAGCTGCAAATACATGCAAAAAGTCTGACCTCAAACTTGAGACGATCACGCCGGGGTCTTCAATTCTGACCCTTAAATGCAGGGAAACATTGAAACGGAGTTTAGGAGTTATAAGGCTTTAAGGGAAGATCCGCCACTGAAATTTCCATTCAACTAAATCCTAAACCCTAAACATTGAACCCTTAAACCTCCCATACTCACCCATGTTTAGAGGACATGGAGGAATCCATGGGGTATTTTGAAGTCTCGAGTCCACCCGCAAATCATCCCTGTAACCCACTCCCGATTTTTCTAGCCAGGGTGAGGACCTGATATGGGCGGTTAGCCAGTTCATGGTCCCCTTCTACTGGATCCCCTGCGCCGTTTAGGGTTTGCTGGGGTTAGTATGGGTTATATTGTGGAAAAATTGGGATAATATTGAATTGAACGCAGCGAGCGTGCTCTGAGCATATGGGATAATATTGGGAAAATGGAAAACAAAATGGAAACTCTTATAACTGGGTATATATTGGGGTAATACTGGAGTTATGGGTCACAAAGACCTTTCCGATGGACATACGAGGCTCTTCGTGACCTGCAACAGGCTGGGAAGGTGCTTTTCCGCGCTGCCAGAGACTGCGGTGCTGGCGATGATTTCCTTGGCCTTGCCGATTGCCTTGCAAGGGACCAATGTAGGATGTATATTCAAGCTAATACCTCCAAAAACACTAAACCCCTAAACGCTGCACTCTACATCCTAACTAAACCTTCAGCGTGCAGAAACGGGGGGCCTGTAAAAAAGAAACTGCTCAAACAAAGAAGTCTGTACGCGTTCCATTGTCGTTTTGGGGGATGGGTAAGCCAAGCCCTCAACCCCACATCCCTTAACCCTAAACCCTAGACATCTGTACATGCCCCTCTATAAACCCTAAACTCCATGCCCTGACCCCTAATTTAAATCCTAGGGTTTAGGGTTTAGGGTTTAGGGTCCTAGACCCTAATCCCTAAACCTGAAAACCCACACCCTAAACCCTGTAGCCTAATCCCTAAACCCTATACCCCTCTCACCTCAATCTCCTCTTTGCGGAGCTTTTGACGCTCTTCGTAAGCAGCGGACTTCTTCTCGCAGGTGGCCTTTTGGGAGCTTGAGGTGAAGTTTTAGGCATTTTAGGGTTTTGGGTTTAGGGTTTAGGGTTTAGGGTTCAGGGTTTAGGGTTGGGGGTTAAGG